CACGCCCTGCCGTCGAGTCCACGCTGGCTCCTCGTGACCCCTGTGGGTGTCTAAGACTGTATCTGTGTCCAGGAGCAGGAAGCCCAGTCTTTCACTCACAGAGCTGCTGGTGACTGCCAACTGCTGACCAGGTGGATCGCAGCCCAACACTTAGCCAGGACACCACCAGGGCCCCAGGGACTGACCGCACCCATGGAGTGGTTTCCCAGGAGGGCTGCAATGCTGTTGGGGCTCACTTGTCTCTGCCAAGGAATTGGAATGATCTGGCCACGTGACTGGAAAAAATCCTGATTTTTCCCAAAGAGAGATGACTCCAAAGTATGTAAAAATGATCAAAATATCATTAATATCACACACAAGTAGAATTTTGCTGAAGGTCATTTAAAAACAGCTGCAGTCGTCCACTGACAGGGGACTGCCAAAGAATCCAACCAAATTCAGAAAAGGCCAGTGTCAGGTGGATCTTGATGAAAGCATGTGATACAAGATGTTTGGTTGTGTTTGACGATGCAAAGTGTTCAACTGTGTGGGTCGTAATGAATTCTAGGTGACATCGTGAGGAATGGGAATTCCTAACTCTAAACTGTGCTCACACAGACGAAATGAGGGGACCCGAAGCAATTGCTGGTGAAAAGCAAAAGGCTACAGCCTTCGGCGTGAACTGCAAGTCAATGTTAAAAACCCTCCCAGATGGGCCGATGGACAACGTCGTGATCACTGAAGACAGAGGTGTCAAGGGTTCCACTTCACCGGGGCTCACAATCGGTGCTCGTGGAAACAGCAGCCCGTCTTCTGCAGAAGACTTCTGGACAGTATTGAGAGGCAACGGTGTCTCTTTGAGGACTGAGGTACACTCGACCCAACCCGTGATATTTTCAGTCGCCTTAGACGCACGTGAGAGCTGGAGATGAGGGAGACTGGAGAAGTCTTTTCTTCACTTTATTGTGAACTAGATGAAGGTGTATAGAGCGAATCCTAGCTTCACATCCAGCAAGTCGTGCACACTCTGATCCAACTCGCCACTGCAGTGGCCTCAATGAACTATCTACCGCTTCCCTACTTCCTCCCTGTGCCCTCCTGCCGATCCTTTTCCCTAACCCCCTGAACCTCGTCCTCGGCGAAGGCTTACACGGCTGACTGTGCCGACAGGAGGTCACCTTCCGTTGCAGACGTGAAGGTGACTAAGGGCCACAGTCCATCTGACCAGTAAGCTTGGTCTCTCTTAAGCTTTTGTGTCCCGTCCCACATTTTCCTTACACAGTATTCTATCCAGGACCCGCTAGTGTGATCCTTTGTAGAACAAGTGGTTGTGGTAGGTGGGCACAGCTGGTTGTTCCAGTGTCAGCGTGGTGGAAGCCGATGTCTGCATGGTCCGTTGGTCTATCGCACGAATGCTTTCCCTGTGTCTCTGATGTTCATCCCTCCTCTTTCCTCTGAATGGGTGGAGACCAGCTAACTGCACCGTATGGTGGTCGCTCATGGGCTTTGTAACCCTCCGTTCACTGCTCACCAAATTGGATGTAGAAGACTATCTTTGTGGACTGTGTGCCAATTGACCTTGTGGTGCCCAAGACTTTGGTCCTGATCCCCTGGGCACAGTGACTTGTGTCCACAAGGTTATGCCCAAGAAGTTGTCATAACTTCCCTCCCTGTGAGCTCCCCACTTGAGGGTAGATTGGCAGCTAAAGCAAACGTTTCTTGGCTCCATCAGGCTGGCTCCAACTGGCAGCAGGAGAAAACTGCCTGGTCTCCCACATCTTCACCAGTGCTGCTCTGTTTGAGCCCATAGTTTTAGCCGCTGTGTCAATCGATCTCCTGGAAAGTGGGGGCGGGGGGTGTCTTCCTCATTTTTGCTGACCCTCTACTTTCCCAAATAGGATGTTCTTTTTTCAGGAACTAGTCTCTCCTGATGGCACACGCAAAATAACGTGCAAATAGGCCTACCCAAATATCCACGGTCAAATGCATACACATCTGCAGGCATATTCCCACTTCTCCTTCTCCTGCCTCTCATTCAGCCAGTGTCCATCCAAGCACCTGCTCATAGAGCCCCACCGCTGTTCCAGGATGGTGCATCCCACGGCTTTTGCCACGGTTGCCCTTAACGCTTACAAACCTTCGAGTGCCATCCCCTGCCTAACCTCAGGCTTACTGCACACCACCTTCCCCAAATGACCGGTACCCTTCTGTACTTGACTACGCCTGCCGGGCTCCTCCACATTGTGAGGCATGTCACAGGTTTATGGTTACTCTTTAAAGCTGCATAGAACGTCATGGATGTTCACGTGCATGGAGGCGGCTGCTCTCTTTGCCGTTGTAAACAGTGCTGCGATGGGCACGGGTGTGCATGCCTCTCTCTGCCACGGCGCTCATTTCCCTACGATCTGCACCAAGTAGCGGGACTGCGAAGGTCTTGTGGTATTTCTGCTCCGGTTTCTGAGGAAGTGCCGCGCACATTCCAGGGTGGTGACACAGTGCCACGGCTGTCCCCCAGCGGGGTCTGAGCATTCCAGCTTTTGAACATCACTATTCGTGCAGGGGTGAGCTGGAATGTCATCGTGGTGGTTTGATTTGCATCTAATTAGCTAACGATGGCTAGCATGTCTTCATAAGCGTGTTGGGGATGAGGACATAAGACACGAAAGGAGAAGAAGACAGAAAACAGACACGGGAAGGTCTTACGTCTATTCATGTCCTCTGTCCACTTTTTCATTGGATTGTTTGCCCTTTCATTGTTGAGGTGTTAAAGTTGTTTGTTTTAATCATTTTATTTAGGGCTCGTACAGCTCTTATCCCAAGCCATACAACCATCCATGTGTCCAGCACATTTGTACATATGTTGCCATCATCATTTTCAAAACATTTTCTTTCTATTTGAGCCCTTGGTATCCTCATTTTTTCCAGTCCTTCCCCCACCCTCCCTCATGAACCCTTGATAATTTATTTATTTATTTTTTCCTGTGTACACCAACCGATGTCTCCCTTCACCCACTTTTCTGTTGACCGTCCCCCTGGGAGGGGGTTAGATGGAGATCATTGTGATCAATTCCCCCTTTCTCCCCACACCTTCCCCTTCCCCTCCTGGTATCGCTACTCTCATTATTGGTCCTGAGGGGTTTAATCTGTCCTGGATTCCCTGTGTTTCCACTTCGATTGTTTTGTTTTTTTAATCATTTTATTGGGGGCTCATACAACTCATCACAATCCATACATATATCAATTGTGTAAAGCCCATTTGTACATTCGTTGCCCTCATCATTCTCAAAACATTTGCTCTCCACCTAAGCCCCCGGCATCAGCTCCTCATTTCCCCCTCCCTCCCTGCCCCTCAAGGTGTTAAAGTTTTCTAGAAATTTTAGAGATGAGGCCCTTGTCTGGCCGGGCCATTGCCAAACCCCCCACCCCCACCCCACCACCTCCAAATTGTGGGCTCCCTGTTTATTCTTCTGATGAAATCTTTTTTGTCCCCCACCCCCCCCATGAAATCTTTTGATGCCTCTAATTTTTAGGAGCTCCTGGCGGCCTATTTTGGGAAGACCAAAGACAAGGTGATGCCAGGAAGGAACTACCCTGTCCTGGAAGAAGTACAGGCAGAAGCTCCGCGGAAGCTGGGGTTTTGCGAGCTGGCCTCACACACCTCGGACGTGTTCTCAGGAGAAACCGGTGCCTGGAGGGCAGCCTGCTTAGGAAGTAGACGGTCTTTGAGAAAGAGGAGGACCTTCAATGAGGTGGTGGACACGGTGGCTGCAGCCACAGTCGGATGCTGCTGGAGCAGGCGGTGTGCGCGGTCGAGAGGCTAAGGCACCCGACACCCAGATTCTGAGACAGTGGCTCACCCCCCTCCGCTCCAGCCCTTCTCCACACACACTCTGCCCAGCGCTTCCTCTCTGGGCCTCACTCACTGCCGGGGTGTCAGTCAAGGCCGATGGACGGGTTTCCAAGACTCATGGTTTACAGGCGTAGAAAGCCCCGTCTTTCTCCTGAGGAGTGCCTAGATATGAACAGAGAACCTTGAGGTTCACACAGCTCCATGGGACCCTCTAGCCCCGGGCTCCTCCTCTCTCGAGAAGCCTGAATAGGGAAGCCAGTCCCCCATTTCAAAGCATGGGGGTCTGGGCAGTTTGGTGGCAGAGGAATGGTAGTGCGGGAGGTGGGAGGGCAAAGGCAGGTGAGCCAAGAGTCACCAAGGGTCTTGCTTCATTTGGGACAGATATCCGGTTTCTTCTGGCTTCTGCCAGGATTCCGGGGGCTTAAAGGAATGAGTCACGAGGGGAGGGTGAGGACTGGGGAGTTCCCAGCTAACCAGCTCCAGACGGACAGCCCGTTTCTTGGGGTGGTGCCTATCAAAGCTGGGGGCGAGGGGGGGGGCAGCAGAAGTCCAACTCCCAATCTCTACTCAGCTTCCTGGTCCCTCAGGAAGGGATCCAGGAAGGCAGCTTCCTCGGAGTTTGGAGACTAGGAATAGGGGTAGCTAGCTTCTCACTCTCAGAATCGGGGAACTTGGGGGCATGGATGGCTTGAGAATCTCTGGGTGCCCCAGGCCAGGGCTGGAAGAGGGAGCAGGCCGTGGGAAGGGCAGACCTTCCTCTGGCCTCCTCCCTCCCTGACCAGTCTGATGGACCGCAGACTCCATGGCTTTGACTCTGGGCCCAGCCTTTGTCCAGCTGGTCTGATCAAACACCCTGGGGCACTTTGGGGCTGGGTGGGGCCAGAGGGAAGGAGGTGACTGAAGGGGGCCAGACGTCAAAGAGGAATCAGAGATTCCACAATTTCACAAAACTTTCGCAAACAGTTTTTGTGAACCAACCCCCCCCCCCACTGCATTGTCCTGAACATCACATTTGCATAAATCTGGGGAAGTGATTACTAAGGCACCAGGTAATTTCCTCCTGGGCCTCCAAGGGTTCTGTATAAAGGTCCTGGTGAGCTGGCCCCTGGCATTGCCCAGAAACTGCAGCCCAGACCAGCCAGACCCACGACTGACCTGCTACCCAGAGCCCATGAAGCTGACCGGTGAGTGTCGGGTCCAACGGGAGGGAAAGCAGCTGCCATGGGTGCCAGCGGGAGGCTGGGAAGCACTCAGGCTCTGGGGATGAGGGTTAACGCCACCCAGGCCAAGCCTGACTCGAGGCCCGTCTGCCCCCAGCCCTGCTGCTGCTGCTCGGGCACAGCGCGCTCTGGACAGTGCAAGAGGCCTCCCCGCTGGGCGCGGCCGGCTCCCTGCCCCAGAGCTTCCTGCTTAAGTGCTTGGAACAAGTGAGGAAGATCCAGGTGGATGGGGCCTTGCTGCAGGAGAAGTTGGTGAGGAGGGGACACTGCACGGGGTGGGGTGGGGGTGGGGGGTTCCGATGCTCAGGTCAGAGAAGTACCAGGACACCCCACCCACCCACCCACCCTTGCCTGGAGGAACCTGGGATGGGCTGGGGGAAGTAGAAGCACGGGGCAGCAGTGGGGGCAGGGCAGAGCAGCCTGGCAGACACTGGGTGAGGGCAAGGGCAGAGAGGTGAGGCCTCAGGGGGGAGGGACAGCCCTTCCTCACTCCGCACCCCTCCCCCCAGTGTACCACCCACAAGCTGTGCCACCCTGAGGAGCTCCTGCTGCTGGGACACTCTCTGGGCATCTCGCAGGCTCCCCTGGGCAGCTGCTCCAGCCAGGACCTGGAGGTGGTGAGTGTCTGGGGGCCAGGAAGGAGGAGGGGGGACGCACATGCCCTGTGCCTGGGCTCCCCAGCTCCCCAGGTTCCAGGCCAGGGACCTGGGGTGGGTCCCAGCCAGCCAGCCCCCAACACTCATCTTCCGTCCCCGTAGACAAGCTGCCTGAGCCAGCTCCACAGTGGCCTCCTCCTCTACCAGCACCTCCTGCAGGCCCTGGCTGGGATTTCTCCCGAGGTCTCCCCCACCCTGGACCTGCTGAAGCTGGACATAGTCGACTTTGCGGCCTACATCTGGCAGCAGGTGAGCCTTCCCTGCAGTGGGCCGCCCAGGAGGGGCTGTCCTGTGCCTGGGGCTTGGGCTGTCCTTCAGGGTTGGGATGGGGGCATCCTCTGGGCAGTCCATCCCAGGGCTGGCTCTCTGCTGGCCCACCTCCACCCCTAGTGGGCAGCAGGGGGCAGCTCACCGCACCCCAGAAGAAGAGGCTGGGCTTCAAGTCCCGAGCCCATCACTCACCACGTGATGGTCAGCCTGTCGGCAGAACTGCCCCTCAGCAGTACTAACAACTGCCCCATCTCCCCCACAGATGGAAGACCTGGCCATGGCCCCCAGCAGGCAGCCCTCCCGGAACCCCACGCCGACCTTCTCCTCTGCCTTCCAGCGCCGGGCCGGTGGTGTGCTGGTGGCCTCCAACCTGCGGAGCTTCCTGGAGCTGGCGTACCGGGCTCTGCGCTACCTTGCCTCGCCCTGAGTAGGCCTTTCCCGTGCGGCATATTTATCACTATTTAATATTTATGTTTATTTAATCCTGATATTTAACGAAGGCGCCCAGACTCCTGGGCCCTTCTGGCTCGGCTCCCTGCAGCAGGGAGACAAGCCCCACCCTCCGGTCCCCTGGACTGGGAGGTAGATAGGTAAATACCGAGTATTGAGACCTGCGATGACTCCCGTGCCCAGCTGTGGTGGGCACTGGGAGGAGTCAATCTGAACCTCTGCCCTGAGGGTGCCCACCTTGGGGCCCTTGGGAGCAGCAGGTCTCCCACGTGGGAGACAAGCCACCCTGTTTAATATTTAAACGGCAGTGTTCCCTTCTAGGACCCTGTAAACCACCTTCCCCAAGGAAGCCATGCCCCCCCCACCCCCCAGCTCCCCACTCGGCAATCCCCTCCCTTCCCTTCCTGGTCTCTGTGTCACCCACCAAGTGGAGTCCTGCCATAGGCCTGGGGCCCACGGCCTGGATGGGGGTCCGAACTTTCCTTTTAGAAGCTGAGGGGGGCCTCTAGCTCCCAGCAAGCCTGGGCTCCACTGACATCTTCCGGATGCCCTCCCTGTAAGGCCAGCTGACTCCACACTGGGCCCTGCTCCCCATGGCACCAGACCTCAGGGTCCTTTAGAAGCAGGGCAGATGGTCAGGTGTCTGCCCTCCTGGGCTGGGATTGGCGTGCTGTGGGGGGCGGGGACTATGTAAGAGAGGCTGCCCACACTTTGTCAGTGTGGTCAAGCTTCAGGACAATAAAGTGTTAGTCTCCACAAAGTGTGCTCCTCCTCCTTGGTCCAGCTGGTGCCCAGCCAGGGGTCAGGGGTGGTGGAGGAGAATGGAGAATGGTGGGCAGGGCCGGAGGGAGGTTCAGGGAAACACAACCCTTCCACCCACTGCCCAGTTGTTCCAGGGGCTTGGGAGGCTGCAAATCTTTATGGGAGCAGTCAGCGCCTTCCTCCCATGGGGCGGCTGATGGAGTCGAACTGCTGACCTTGCAGTTAGCTCAGCTCAGCTCTTCACTCGCTCCACCAGGGCTCCCACTCAGCCTTTTAGCTGTATTTGTTTACTTTGTGTGTGCAGACCCTGGACTATGCACCAGGCCTCACAGTGACTGAGGCGGGCAGCCCCTGCCCTTGGAGAGCCACAGCCTGGCGGGGAAGGCGGAGGGCAGGTGGGGCTCCTGTTGGTGGGAGACAGGGGAGCTGAGTTCCATCCCACCTCCTCCAGGCCGAGCCAGAGCACAGGCCTCACCCATTCACTCCCTCCTGTACACACACCCCCTATGCACTGCATGTCCCACGGGACATCGCGTGGGACCTTGAATTCCCCTCCCTGACCACACTCCTCTGCCTGGAGGCCGTCCACCCTGCATGTCACCTCCCTGCCCTCGGGGCTCACGTGACAGGGCTGTGAGCATTCACCACCGGTCCTGGTGCCAGGCCAAGCGCCTCACGCCCCAGTGGAGACATGACTGGAGACTGGGCCTGTCACCCCCACTGCACTGGGGAAACGGAAGGCCAGCCAGCCAGCCCTCCCATGGGGCGGGGGGGGGGGGGGGGGGGTGTCTCCACCCGAGCTCGGTTCCTCAGCCACCTTGCTGGACTGCCCCACAAGCTTCCTTAGAAAGCAGGATCTGGCGGGTCTGTGAGAGCCAGGCAGGTGGGCTCAGTCGGAGTCTCTGCCCCTCACCCAGAAGGGCGGGTCCAACAGGGTGGGGCGGAGCTGGGCTGCGGCCCACAGGAACAGAACCCCAAACCCAGTGCTGGCTGGCCTTGAGCCAAAAGGGGAGGGGGAGGGGGGAGGGCAGAGGACGGGTGGCTGCTCTGTAAACAAACAAACCTGGGGAGCTGAGCCCAGTCCTCTAGACCTCCTCTTCCTCCTCCGCCGTTCCCGACAGGACTGAGCCTCTCCGCAAGGCACCCCACCCCACCCACCAAGCAGGCCCAGGACTTGATAGCAGACACTCACGTCACAAAGGGGCCCGAGAGGCTCTTTATTTAAAAAGGAGCGGAGAGCAGTGAACATCCCCTCGTATAAATATAACACACACACACACACACACACACACACACACACGGCATCTGTAAAGTTCTTCCTGGGCGGAGCCTGCAGGGGCTCAGAAGCAACACCTGTTGGTCACACTCAGAGAGGAAATGGGGACACCCACGGGGAGACGCTAAGAGGGGGCACCCGAGGAGCAGGTCAGGCTCTGGAGGAAGAAAGGCTCCTGGTCAGGCAGCTGTGCGCAAGGGTGTCTCCTCTGTCCCCAGGGGCTGGAGGCCCTCCCAGGCCCTCAGAGGGCGGCAATAGCTTTGGCAGCCACCTGGCGGCCCAGAGGCAGGCTGAGGTCTGTGATGGCCAGCACCACCTTGGGGCTGCACATGGCCGACACCTTCACCAGCTCGGACACCTGCCAGAGAGACAAGAGTGTTGCTCACTGGGCAAGCTCATGGGAGTGCTGAGGGCTGCCCGCCCCGCCTGCTGTGGAGGCAGCCGCTCACCGTGGTGAAGGGCATGAACTGCAGGATGCTTCCCCGGCTGCCCTGCTCCAGGCAGTCCACACACTCCTCCATGAACCACTGCACAAACTGGGTGTGGGGGCCCGCGGTCCGAGAGCCCAGGATGGAGGAGATGAGCAGGAACAGGTTGGCTGTGCAGGAGAGCAGAGGGGATGAGAGGCCCCGCAGGGAGAGACTGGCGGGGGAGGTGGGACTGAACTGGGCGAAGGCTGACATGCTGTAACCACCCAGGACCAGGGCTCTCGTGCAAATGGGGTCGAACAGGTGGTGGGCCTCGGTGGGCCACCTCGGGTGACAGATAGGGGCAGGGTGGGAGGGGCTCACCCAGCACCCGGTTCAGCGGGCCTCTCATATTGACTGTGTGGAGCTGGGAGGCGGAGAAGGAGGAGCTCATGGACCGGTCAGCTGTGGATCAGTGGAGGACACGCTGAGACCACGGCCTACCACTCGGCACCGACCCAAAAGGGCCCGGGAACCCCCAGCCCCAGCCCCCCACCCATCCAGTGGGGCGACTGTGAGGAGAGCCCCCGGGAGACTGCAACTTGAGGGACGGGGGTCCGGCTGCAGGTGCTGGAGAAGGGTGGGGCAGACGCACAGATGCTGAATGATGTGAAACGCACGTAAACAAAGCACAGGCACAAAGGGGTGGGGGGCCAGGTGGGGGAGGCCCGAGAGAGTCATGCTGTCCTGGGCGCTGCCAGGCCCCTGTCGGTCTCGGGCTAACACTTCTTCTTCAATGCCTGGCAAGGGCAAAGACTGGAGGCACAATGGGAGCCGCTGAAGGCCAGGGCTCAGGACAAGGCCCGCACTGAAAGTCTCCAAGAGACGGGCAGCTCAAGGCCACGGCCCAGCAGGGCCTTGGGGAAAGCAGCCGGAGGGCACAGGTCTAGGCAGCAAGGGACGAGAGAGGGCAGTGGGGCGAGGGAGGGCGCGGCACAGGCCGGAAGAGCAGGGTGCAGCCCAGGCTGGGCCTGGGCCCGGGCTGGTGTGGAGGAAGGTCGGCCCCAGTGAGTCAACGGCACAGACTGTACCGGAGGCCGTGAGCATACCCGGCTGGCTTGTCATTCCTTGCTGAGTAAGGAAGGAAATGGGGGGAACATGCAACAGGGTAGAGGGGGGACGAAGGTGGGGTGCTCCTTCTCTGGGGTCTGACTACAAGCCACAGGGAGAGATGCAGCACAACACTATCCAGGGGTCAGAAGCAGACACCCCCCTACCCACCCCACCCCCGTCCCATCGGCGGAGATGGCGCTGCGGGGAGGAGCGGGCTGGGCGGCCGGCTACACTCACTGGGACTGGAGAGGATGTTCGCGTCGTCCTCACTGGAGCTCAGCAGACGCATCAGCTTGGACGGCTGCATGTCGTCCAGGGGGAAGAGGCTGATGTAATCCTGCAGGGCAGAGCAAGCGGCACCCAGGCTTCAGTGGGGATGTTACTGCCCACGACCAGCGGCCTCGGGGGTCAGCGTTCCTCCCCGTCCCTTTCCACAGGAGGCAGAGAACAATGTGCTCTCCCTGCAGGACTCGCCTCAGAAAAGGGAGTCTGCGGTCCTTCTCAGACTCACTCCTGGAACCCCCAGGCCCAGGGGGGTCTGCCAGACGGCCACACAAGCTCAGGAAACATTTGCAAACAAACCCACAGGCCAGCCTTAACTACCTCGATGTCTTCCCGATGCCTCTTCTTCTGGCGGGAGGATGCCTGGCCCTTGTGGGAGGAGTAGGAGCTCAGGGCGCACCACACGGCCAGCCTGGCGGGGCCCAGGACAAGGGCAAGGTCAGAGGGGCGCCTGCGCACACACCCATCAGGCCCAGCTTCTGGGGCGCGGACACAAGCGGGGGGGTGCCTGTCTCCATGGGGTGGGGGCCCGGGAGGTCCCAGGGGAGAGGGCAGAGAAGGCTGGGAGGCGGCCCCTACTTGGCAAGGGCAGTGCCTGGGGGGTCCATGAGGCTGTGCCACTTGGAGGAGTCGGTGAGCAGCCCGGGCAGGATGTGGCCGAGGAGGACCAGAGTGAGCTGCTGCATGTCCAGGCAGAAGATGGAGTAGAGGAGTTCCACGGCCTGCAGGGCATGCTCCTTCCGCGTCTCTCGCAGCAGCTCCTGCGCAGCAGGCAGGGCAGCTGGGGGCTGGGCCAGGACCGTTCACACTGCAGCCCCCCCCACCCCCGTGGTCCAGGAGTTATGGAGGGGAGGGGGCTGCCCACAGTCAACAGCTGGGGAGAGGAGGGGAGGTAAAAGCAGGCTGTCTCTCCTGGGTCTCCCCTAGCCTGTCCGGCCCACGCTCACCCCAGCAACATACCTTCACTAGGTTGTTACAGAACCAGTAGACGCCGCCCATGTGCAACAGGGTGTCAAAGATGTGGATGGAGCGACTGTCCACCCAGCCCTTCTCCAGCACCTTGGCAAAGACATCCGTCAGCACCTCTTTGATGGGTCGCTTGGGGGGCAGCAGGTTCCAGTAGGGCATGGTGTCCACGCCCGTGGAGGGGAACTTGATCTGGGTGGCCGTCTGCTGCAGCACATCAGCACACATGTGCTCCAGGATGGAGCTCATGATCACCACCCTGGGGGACCAGCAGGGAGGGGCAGTGGTCAGGCGCGGCCCTCCACTTGGGTTACAGAAGTAGCCCTACCTGGGGAGTGAGCGCCACTCTGTGCTGACCTGAACCCACCTCCCCTTTCTGGAAAAACTCTGACTTGCCGGGCATGGAAGGGCCTCCTCCCCAGGCCATCCCCGCCATACGTCCATGTTCCTGTTCTCTCTCAGGGCTCAGTGCTTTCCCCAGCCCCAGCCCTGGGGCCTTGCCAACCTTCTGACATAAATATAATCACTTCCCTCTGGGTTGAGTGCTGGGGGGGGTCCCGCCTCCCGCCCAGACCTGGCCTCCGCCCAAAGTAAACTTTGTGACTTCCAGGAGAGGGGCCCAGGACTGTCCCACAGGGATCTTCCCGGCCTTTGGAAGCTGGGCAAGTCTACGTGTGTACCAGGAATTTTTGCCGGGAAAGTCTCCCTGGGTGACTACAGACCCCGGTCTCCACACCGGCCCAGGCACGTGGTTTCAGAGCCCTCTCCCCACCTGCAGGTGGGGCCTCGGGTTTCCCATTGTGCCTCACCCAAGGCAGACCAAGGCTGTTCAGACCAGCTTAGGTCATTGTAAGTACATGTGTGCGGGGAGGCCAGGGGGAAACAGGTGATGTGGATTTAAAGATCGTCCCCAAGCCTGCCTTTAGCTAAACATGACAACTTCTCTCTAACAACACATCCTGTACAGGGAGCTGGGCTCTAAAACCACCCAGCACAGCTGAGGTCTCGGGGGTGGGGGGTGGGGTGGGGGTCCTTCCAAGGCCCTGAAGAGAAAGCAAGAAGTGGGCAGGAAAGACAGACAGCTGCGGGTGGGCAGGATGGGAGGCCCAAAGCCCAGACAACCTAGGGACCGGCTCATACTTCCTGAGCTAGGACACAGCGGCATGAATGACAGGATGATGCCCGAGTGAGGAGTGAGTTCTCTGCCCGGAGCCCTCTGAGGGCAGGCACCCGAGCTATCTGGGGTCTGTACCCCGGGAACTCAGCACGGCCGGACCAGGCACATGTCTGTCACCAAGACTCAGGACTGGCTGGGTGATGGAGGGAGGCCAGGGAGCAGGGTGGTGGGAGCCTGACCTCTCGTTGTAGAACTGCAGGGTGTTCTCACTGTACAGAGGCCCTGCCAGCTGGCGGATCATCTGCAGGGACTTCTCCCGCTCGTCCAGGCCCAGCATCCGCACGTGGGCCACCAGCCAGGCCACGGCACACACCGCCAGGCTGCACACCTTGCCCTTGATGTTGTCCGTGATTTTCTGAGGAAGGGAAAGGGTCACTGGGGTGGCCTTCCCCCCACCCCACCCCCAAGTCTGATTCCCATAGGGGGCCAGGTTCTGGGGGCTTCTCCCTCTTGGCCGTGACTGGGGGCGGGGCGGGGGTCAGTGGCACCAGAGACCGGACTACCTGGATGGACTCGAAGGCCAGCACGCCGTTCTCCCAGGCGTTGAGGATCTCCAAGATGGCTGCCGAGATGCTCAGACAGGCTTCGTGCCACTTCATCTGCCTATGGGTGAGCGGGGGGGCCGGGGTGGTTCTTAGGAGAGAGGGTTTGGGCCCTTGTCCCCACCGCTACCCTAGGAGGGGTGCCCGGAACTGACACCAGCTTCATCTCGGAGGAGTTGTTGAGCAGGGCCACCAGGGACTCGACCTTGGTGGAGTCTGGCCGGAAGCAGGGGTGGTCGGGGTTCAGGACCTTGCCCTCCTCGGGCATGCAGGTCTGCATCCAGGTCTCAAAGAAGGGCACCTCAGCGCGTGCGCTCGGCTCAGACAGGATCACCTGGGCCAGGGGCACCGAGACAACAGCCAAGGGGCTGGCTCAGCATCGGCCAGGCTGGGCCTTGCCTCCACAGTGACCGGGCTCCTCCCCCAGGCAGCACAAGTGCCGACAAAGGGTCTACAGAAGGCAGGCCAGGCTGTGCTGCCACCTAGTGGTCAGCGAGGGTGTGCAGGGGCCCTTTACCCAGCGTGGGCGTCCAACTGCCTTGGGGGCTAGCAGAGGGTGGGGGTGAGACGTGGAGAGCTACTGGCCATTTCTTTGCGCCTGACTCCCACCGCCTGGCACCCTCTTGCTCACCTCTGAGCCGTAGGTCTGGGCCACGTGGCACAGCATCAGGAAGGAGATGTCGAACAGCAAGGCCCGCACGGAGGCTGCTTTGGCTGCGGGAGGAGACAGGCCGACCCACCGCTCAGCCCACGCAGGCTCAGCAGGGTCTGGGTTGAGAAGGTACCACAATCTGCCTCCAGGAAGGTCAGGGATTAAGTGGCTCTTTCAGAGCTCTGAGGCTCAGGATCCTTTTCTTGAAACCCAATCAGAACATCATTCCTTCCTTGGAGCCCAAGGCCTCCTTGCCCCTAGCGCCGGAACCGAACCGGAGAGGGGGGGACACAGGCACGCGTGGTTTTAAGGTCCCTTTCCCCAGGGTCACCCTCTTCGAGGGTCCCCAAAAGCTCCATTCAGTCACTGCTCAGGGGAGGACACAGAGGGGCTTCCATCCAAGCAAAAGTGTCTGCCTCCCTGCACTCCCTCACCCCACCTTCCCTGCCGACTTCGGCCGGTGGACTTACTGCTCTCCTCGCTGCCATGCGTCGTGAATTCATTCAGGCTGCGGAGGGAATGGAAACCGGGCCCATCAGCCAGGGCCAGGGCCAGGGCGAGCGGCTGAGGGACTTAGGGCCCAGCGCCAGAATGACTTAGGGCAGCGGTTCTCAACCTGCGGGGCGTGACCCCTTTGGGGGACTGAACACCCCTTTCACAGGGGTTGCGCGATTCATAACAGTAACAGAATGACAGTGATGAAGTAGCAACGAAAATCATGTGATGGTTGGGGGGGTCACCACCACGAGGAACTGTATGAAAGGGTCGTGGCGTGAGGAAGGTTGAGAACGGCTGACTTATGGGGTCAACACACACCAGTGCTGCATAAAGAGCACGGCTCCCAAGTCGTTCTCAAAGATCTCCAAGCCCTCGCTCAAAACAGCTTGCCCACTAGAACAGGTGTCCTGTACGTCAAACTCCAGGTCAATCAAGCGAGGCCCCGTCACCTTCTTGGCACTCCCCTTCACCCTCAGCTGAAGAGAAACAGCACTTCAAGGCAGAGAGCTTCCTCCAGGGCCCAGCTGGGATGCTCTGGAGAGCCAGGCCCCAGGGGCTTCCCCTCTCCTGCTATTTCTGCCTGCCACACATCCCCCTCTCCACCCCACCCCCACCACCAGGCACCCATCTCCCTCACTTGATGAACTTCCGGGCAAAGGATTTCAGCTTCCCCGTGGCGGCAGCAGCAGCCAGCAACAAGTCCAGACTCTTCCCAGACAGCATGTGGCCAAGGACCCCCAGGAGCCCCTCTGGGGACTTGGAGTGGTCAGCATCCATCGTCTGGGGGCAAGAAAGGGCAGGAAATCAAGTCCCGAAGACCCCCAAAGACCTCCTCTCCCCAGATACAGCCAAGCCACCTCTTCTCTCCCTGTAGTTTCCAGCACAAAGGATCGGAGACCTACAGGTCCAGCTCCAGCTTCCTGACACCATTCTGGCAGAGCCATTTCTCAAATCGACTCTGGCTCCTCTCTGACCCCCTGAGCCAACGCCACTGGGTCAAAGCTGGATATGTGTGTGTGTGTGTGTGTGTGTGTGCACGCGTGTGTGCGAGCAGGCGTGCATGCACGTGTGTGGGGCAGGCTTTCCAGGCAGGCTGGCCCTGATTAAAAGCACCATCACCATGCAGCTGGGGCACAGGTGGCGCCAGCAGTGCTCGGTTCCAATGGTCCGTGCCCCTCCACCCTTGCTCTACTTCCAGAGCAGCTATGTATATAAAAGGCAGACAGGGGTGGGGCTGGTCAAAGTCGCTTTCTCTCTAGAGGCTGAAGAGAAGTTGCAAAGGGGAGCGAGAGGACTCTGGAGGCAGGGGGCGGGCACCCCCACCTTGAGGATGTTGGTGACAGTGGGCTCTGCCCGGAGGATCAGCCCGGGATTGGGCTGGATGTTGGCGTTTTCTGCGGATTTCAGCTGCGGTGCATGCTCCCGGTCAGCCGTGCTGTGGTCAAGAGAAGGAAGAAAAGCGGGATCAATTCTTGACCCACTCCTCTCGTTCAAGCCCCGCACAGAGAAGGTAGAGGGCCACCTGGGAGTGCCTGGGGCCAGGGACGCTGAAGCATGCGCACCTGAAACCACCCAGGCTTCAATTCATCCTCAGGCACCCTTACTTGGAAGCTCCATGAAGGATTAAAGGAAGGCTTAGGCCTTTTACTTTGCTCACAGAGCTAAAACCCTAAGCATAGACAACTATGGTGGAGGGAATGCTGCGCCCTGCAGCCCCAGGCACAGGAAAGGCAGCAGAAGCCCGGCTGGACTCTAGAGGGAGGCCAGGGCCTCAGGGGCTGTCCAGGGGAGTCATGCTCACCGCTTGGCCACAAGGTTTGTCTCACAGGCTTCAGACAGAAGCCCCTGCTTGCTACATTCTTGAAGGAGAAATTTGGTACAATCACAGCTGTGAGGAGACACAAAGAAGGAGCAGGGCACATAGTTGAGGTCTTTGAGGGATGAGGATGGCCCATCCAGGGTCAGAGGACCCTTGGGGCCCTGAGGGAAGGCAGAGGGGATCTGGGCACCCGCAGCTATGGGGCTGCTGCCTCCTGCCCGTGCCAAGGAGAGTGAAGGGAGAGAGAGTCCCCGGAGGCTTTCTCTGACACAGAGGAGCAGAGGCAGCGCCAACACCTTCCGGGGGGCTGAGTGAGCAGGGTGTCCGTACTTGCAGCGCTGGTCAGCTTTGTCCAGCAAGGGCGTGAGCTTCAGCAGGAATTCAAAAGCACAATTGACGTCCTCCGTAAAGTCCTACAAAGAGCCAGACACCAGTGCCTAGCTTCTAGGTCCTCAACTGCCTACGCCCTGTACTGCAGGCTCACCAGGTACCTTTGTGGGTAGAAAGGCCCTCAAACAGGCCATGTGTACCACTGGCCAGTAGCTGGGGGAAGGGTATCACCAGTAGCGCCCCACATAGCCACTGCTGGCTGACCCTGGCCCGGAGCTGAGCGCTGGCTGCCCGGAGGCCGGGTACAGGTGCATGGACACACGCCCTCCCAGCCTCACCCCAGGCAAGGGAGCACACTCCTGCCTGGCCAGGGTCCAAATGCCCCTTCCTGGGCCTTGTTCCCCGGGGGCAGCAATCCCCCAGCCAGTCATTTCTGCAACTCACCTTGTCCCCATGGGAGTATTTCTTCAACTTCACCAAAACCTGGGGAATCTAGGGGGAGGGGTGGGGAACAAACCAGATCGATTTCTTCACCTAGAACTGCAGCAGCCCCACTCCCTCAGCTCGGAGCCGGGAGGAGGCCCGGGAGCACTCCCGCCAGGGAGAGAAAGCCCACTTAGACCTGGGCCCCGGCACCCCCGACTACCTGCAGGACAGACACCCTCACTTCTACCTGCTGCAAGGGAAATGCCACAGAGAAACGTGGGAGCCATGTCAGGGGGTCAGGCCCACCTTCCCCTCGCCCCTGCCCGGCACCAAGCGGTTGCTGACTGAGCTGACCAGCCTTTCAAGGTCCGAACGACGAGGGTGCTGCCCAATGGGCTGCACAGCCCGGGGCCGCCAGAGAAAACATAGTGGCACCCAGGCTGGGGACCTGGCAGGGTGTCAGTGCTTTCCTCAGACCCTTCCTGGACCAGTTCCCGCGCTCCTGGCCGCCCGCCCGCCCGCCCGGGTACCTTGAGGAAAGTGAAGGCGGTCCACTTGAGCTCCTCTGTGCCTTCGGGGGACTCGATGAGACCCACAAAACAAGCTTTCCAGATCTCCAGGACAAAGAGCGGGGTGGGGATGTGCTGGGGGAAGATCGGGCAGAGGCTAAGAGGGTGGCCAGAACCGGCCCAAGCGCTGGGCAGTGGCAGCCCCCTGCAGGCTGGGGCCCACGTCCACAGGCACCCAGGGAGCAGGAGAGGCAGCTCTGCTCCCACCCACCTGCATGCGCTTCACCATCATCAGCTGCTCCACCAGGGGCTGCGTCTCGCCGGTCAGGTTCATGGTCCCTTCGAGCAGCACCACCGCGTGGACCGTGGGGAAGCCCGTCTTGTGCAGCCGCTCCGAGTGCACAGAGAGCATCGTGGGGATGCTGAGGGGAGCAGAAGCATGGGCCTGCTGCCACCTCCCTGAGCCCCCCGGGTTCCCTCTTCCTTCCCACATGCCCACCGACCTCCTGATGAGGGTGCCACACTGCTCCGCCTGGCTCCGGAGGTGGGGGCTGCTGAGATTGGCCAGGATCTCCCCAAGCTTCAAGAGGGAATGCTCGATGGCAGTCCATGAAGCTGTGCGGAAAGGCACATGCAACACGATGGGGTCAGGGGAGAGGCGGAGACCGGCTCCAGGCACCCTCTGGGCCCGCAAGACCACCCAGGGCGGCAGTCCTCGAGGATTACGCGGGACCAGGGGCCTAAGGGACAGCATGCACCTGCTCTACAAGGGGATGTGCGCCCATGGCTAGAGACCCTCAAAACCACTCTGCAGGCCTGACTTTCAGGGATGCACTAGCCATTAGGGGCCTGGCCTATCACAAGCAGGCAGGAGAGAGGCAGAGGAAAGTGAGGGTCCAGTGGCTGGACCAGGGACGGGGTCCACAGGCCACTTCAGAAGTAGACCACTCCCAAAAGTCAACCTCCCACGTGGCCCCACTCCCCACGGGAGCCAGGCCTTGCCGCGCTCCCTGCTGAAATGCCTTTTCCACTCACCCTCGCCTCCCCAGCCCCCACCATCCTGCCAGCTTGTGAACCACTTAACCACCGATCTGAACCTCTGACTGTCCCCTAAGATGCTGGGCTCGTAGCCTGCCCCGCATCTCTTAGCACTTAATTAGACGTCATTTATCCTCGTTACATTTCCACAGACTCAAACGATGAAAGATGGAGCCAGCTAGCCCATCAGCTTTCACATAGCACAGGAAAAAAAAATCCCAGACGACAAGTCCAAGCCTGCGAGCCACTAGCAGGAAGCAGAAACTCATTTTGCAGCCAGTACACGTACAAAGATGGCCGGTAGAGCCCCTGTGAACAGAGTGACCAGCTTCTGGGTCATCGCGGGCCATCAGGTTTTGAGACTCAACAGGAGAACCTGGTGGCAAGCGCTCCCGGCAGGTCCTGCAGACCGCAGGGAGGCCCACCCGTGCTTCCACTTACTGCAAAGCACAAGACCCTTAGGTGGTCCTAAGTCACGGCGAGATTGTGGGCTGTCTCAGAAGAATCAGAGTCTTCCCTCCCACAAAGTGCTGCTCTGTTTAGCCATCAGCTTCTGGAGAGTTCTACTCGGTAGCACCTGAACATTAGTCAAGAGGTGCTTGGCACCCCAGGCCTGACAGGAGACAATCCGGTGTTTACAGGATGGTTCAGGGAGCAGGTGGATGAACCACATGCGCTGGAAGGATGAGTCATACGGAGACAAGCGTGCCTCGGCCTCCTATTCTCCCCCCACGTCTGTTATGCACTAGTCTTGCTCCTCAGCTAGCAAGTAGACTCGCTGAGGGCAGGGACCCTGCCACATGCTTCTGGTAGCCCCCCCACCCCTCCCCTGCTCCCAGCACCTGGTGCAGTGCTGGCCATCGACAGTGCTCAGTAAATACCTGTTGGTTGATTGGCTCGGGTGCCACCCTGCCCCAGTCCCTGGGATGTGTGCAATGCTTATGGGAGAGAGAAAAGGAAGTGTATGGTTTCAGATCCTCCTGGGAAGAAGTGGGATGGCATCCTGCCTCTCCCCTCTCAAGTTCAGAGCCGGCGACGGCAACAGTGGGGTCTGGGGACATACAGGCCTCCTCCAGTTTGGCAATGTGGAGCAGGGCCCGGTTCTTGGTGCTGCTCAGGGTCTTCTCCAGACGCTGCAGGCACATGGTCAGCTGCTTTTCGCCCGCGGCTGGAGTGCCCGCCTCCAGGCCCTCCCGCAGTAGCTCGGCAGAGGCTGCAGTGCAGCGCAGCAGCCAGTGGAGGGCACTGAGCAGGGCTCGGCACAGCCCCAGGCACTCCTCCGCTTTGCCGTGGCAACTGCAGGGGAAGGAGGCAAAATCCATCTCTGCTGCCAGCTGCCCAGACCTAGGTCCCCCCCGGGGGCCCTGGCACTCTCCTCCTAGGGGGCAGAGTTGGGGAGCCCCAGTCCAGTCTGCTCCCCCTGGGCAAGTATACTTCCAGGGAGAAGCCTCTTGTCCCAAGGAAGTCAACAGAAGGGACGGGGCTGGGCAGGTGGGAGCCCACAGAATAGGCCTCAATTCAGTGTCTTCTCTGCCCTCAGACAATGCTGGGGGCATGAGCCTCTACATCCCTGCCTTTACCTCAGTCGGTCACAAAACATGTCCATGATGTCCAGCAGTGCCTGGACACACAGGTCCCGGGAAAAGTCATCAAACTGCAGAGAAGCAGAGAGCTGCTAGAGAACACCCAGACAAGCACGAAGTCTCCTAGCTGAGGCCAGGGTTCCCGCTCCTCTTTCCTCCAGATTGCAGACTGGCATTCTTTAGACCCTGGAAGGTGGCTCCTAATTTGCCAGCCCCCATCTCCCAGATGCCCCTCCCTCCAATGGAAGGCCACGGAATGACCAGAGCAGCCAAGGAAGTGAAGGCCTGTCCCAGCACCACGTAGGCACGGCCCCTCCCACATCGCGCCCAGCGTGGCTCCGGTCCTACCTTACTGATGGCGGTGAGGACGGAGGAGTAGGACACCATCTGGGGGGAAGGGAAAGGAAGAAGCATGGGCTCAGGGAGTGTTCAGACCAGCAGGACACACCCCCCACCCCCCAGGACAGGAGCCAGCCCAGAGGCTCTCTGCGGCGGTAGCTCCTACATCACCTCGACCCTCGGAGGGGCCCCAGTCATGCCCGAGAGAGGAGCACTATGCACGGCCCTCAGTGCCTCTCCTACCAAACAAATGCTCCAGGAGTGCACTTTATGTAGACCAGAATCAGAGACGACCTCTCCTGCCCAGCAGACTCCAAGGCAGTTCACTTCACTGTACAAGCTCTTACTCCTCCCCAGGCTTTCCAAGTCCCACCGGCGGAAGTCCTCCCTCTGGGCTCCCAGTGGTCCCCTTACCCCATCATTATGGGTGCTGCCTGGCACTCCACCAGGTGAGAACCCTTTCATGCTGACTGCCACACACTTGGTCACGTTTGCAGAATGAACATGCAGGACACACCCAAGGCCAACATTGCCCAGAGTGTCTCCCGAAGCGGCACCAGCCCCTTGGCGGCGATGAACCATATGTGGCTGCTCTCATTACATCACTGAGAACAAAATCAAGTTAAAGGTTTGGGTCCTTGATCATAGTGCCCTCGTGGTCACCGTGACTACTGAGTATGGAACCGGACAGCACAGAGAGGACATGTCCATCATTGTGGGGTGGTCCACTGAACCACACTGTCTCAAGAATCCTTAGGATGTCAAGATCTCTCTCTCTCTCTCTCTCACACACACACACACACACACACACACACACTCAACTTTTGTGTGAAACAATCCTGGCAAATAGTGAATTAAACATACAGACGGAAAACCAACAGCCACCGAGCCAATTCTGACTCCTGGCGATTTCATGAGTGTCCAAGTAGAACTGGGCCCCATGGGGACGTCATCGGGCAATTTGGGGAATTGGATCACCAGGCATGTCTTCTGTGTGCTCTAGGGGACTGAACCGCTGACCTTAACCATCTGCACCACAGAGGCGCCTGTGTCCCAGGGCTCCTCACTTGCACACAATGGACGTCTCTCAGAAATGGGAAGGAAGCAAGCTGTACTTTTCAACTTACCTGAGGAGCAAGGACTCTCACTCAACTAGTCTCCCCCGGCAACCTTTCCAGGGGATTCTACTGAATGGTGAGCTCCCTGGAGACAGGGAGAGCAGTGAATTCATACGTTTCTCTAACGCTTAGACCAAGACCCGACACGGTAGGTCCTCAGAACGCTCTTACGGCTTGGAATTGGTGGAGTCTAATTAACTAGATGGATTCGGGAAAATTTTACCTCGAAGAAAACTTTTATTAGTAAAACCCATTCTTCATCCTAAGACTGGAAAGCGATTTCAAAAGGAAAAAAAAAAAGTTTTGCTGTATTTCAAAAGAGGGAAAAAAAAAACGTAAAGAAAATCTTTTAAGTTAATATAGTTGTAAAAATAGTAATTACAGCATGCTGATAAAACGTTGACCGGTGCACTCAAACGCAGAGGCCAGCACACCAGATTACATGACCAATCCATCAGGACCGTCACCCGCCTCCCCGGCCGCTGCCTCTAGAAGAGTGCCAATCCCCAGAGCCTGGCGCTAAGCCGGCCGGATGACCTCGGCCTGGGGACTTTCCCCGGCATCACTATTCCTTCCAGGGACAATTCCCACACCACATGGACAGAATGCTCTCTGTTCAGATGTCTTTAACAGGATTCTTGGATGGACAGCAGCAAAGCACAGCCTTCAATATACAATTAGTGTTTAGCGCCACTACGAGCAGGTCATGCTGCAAAGCTGGAGCTGGTGTCTGACAGTCATCAAAGAGTTGGGCGCCTGCCTGGGCAGGATGACCATGACGTTCCAGGGGAGTGTTTGTTTATTTATAACTGATGTCCCCATAGCAAGAGCTTGGCAAAGAACAGAGCCTGGTGGGATACCCACCTGTAGAGGGAGCTGGACGTTCCCACTAGAAATGTAAAAGGAAAACTAGCCGAACCCACGCCTGGAAGTCCATTCCAACTCAGGGTGAGACCCTACAGACAGTATGGGGCCCCAACAGCTTCCCAGGCTCTTGTCCCCATGGAGTCCCTGTCTCCCAGAATGATTGGTAGCTTTACACTGCTGGCCTTGGGCTTGACAGGCGAGTGCTTCCACCATGGCACTGTGGGTCCCCACTAGAAACTGACCCCAAGCTACCAGCATGGAAACTCTGCACTGTAGGTTCTGAGAGATTCCACTAGTTCAGATGAATTTCTGGCCGTCAAATCCAAATTTTCCTGCACTGCACTTCTGCTAAACATTTCACCAAAGCACCGCTATCCAGAGGCCTAAAAATACTTCGCACACGGTGAGCCCTTTGTCACGACAGGACTTAGCTGATTCCAGTGGTAATATTTCTATCAGCGCATGGGCTCTGAAGCACCACAAGTCCCCGGAGCCGGGAGCCCGGTGTGCGGCCCCAGCCCATGTGGCCGGCCCAGAGCCAGTGTCGGTAGATACAGGGCTGCTGCGGCTGCTCCTTAATCCTCCGGCTCTTCACAGCCCACAGCCCACCCCCAATCTCGGCGTCTCTGGAGGAAGTCTGAGCCACTAACTTTGCCTGCCATTTTACAGTCCAAAGGTCTTTCAGATACATGGATAGTTTCTCTCTCTCTCTCTCTCTCTCTCTCTCTCATCTTCAGCTTCTCCCATCAGCGTGTACACCTCAAGGTTCTTCTAGTTTAAAAAGGAGTTGCCCTGCAGACCCCTCCCTCTCCTTCTGCCTCCTGCTATTCACAAGCATGGGGGTTCTCTGGGCTCACCTCCCCACACCCCCTCCTCTTCATCTCCCCTCCACCTCTGGGAGCCTCTCCAACCCCATCTGTCCTCAGCATGCCACGAATGAGCTCCTTAAGGTCAGCACACTCTTTGGTTAAACTCAACAGATACTTCTCAATCCTCGTCTTTCCTCACCTCTTGGCAGCGTCCGACACCACAAAACCCTTCCCTCATCCTTCAGTCCTCCCTTTCCTTGGCTCTTCTGATACCACCCTTCTCGCTTTTCCTTTCCGACCCTGGGAGCAATTCCGTGAGTGACTGTCTCCTCCGGAAGGTACCTTCCCTCACTTGGCTTGCCCACCCGCCTCCAGGGCCCATCTCATCCCAGCCCTTGGCTTCCATGAGCAGCCCAGGCTGAGGGCTGGGACATCACTGCCTCCAGTCCAGGCTCTCCTTCTGAGGTCCACAGATGACGGGGCTTCAAAGGGTCTGTGGGAAAATGGACTTAAAAGGCAACAGCACTAAAAAAAAAAAAAAAAAGGCAACAGCACTTTCCCAGGGACTTTGTTTGAGTGGCACAAACCGTTGTTACTGGTGGTGACAGCAAATGAGACAAAGGTCGAAGACAACGCCTGCTTCAGAGCTGATGCTCTAAGTCCGCGCCAACAGCCTCCCCGTGGATGTTGGGAAGCTCCCTCACACCCATTCAACTCCATACCGACTCTCTTCCAGCCCACTCCCACCACCCGCCTGCCTCCAAGTGTTTCTGACGCTGTTCGTCTTCATGGTAGCAGACGGCCTCGTCTCTCTCCCACAGAGTGGCTGGTGGGCTCCCACCACTAATCGTCTGGTTAGCAGACCAACCCAAGGCGCTCCCAGAGAGACCACTCTGGGTACCTCCATCTAACAAGACCAGAAGTCAACCAGGCCACCTCCACCCCTCACCCAGACTGGAATCCTATCGTCCGATCCCACTTCGACTGTCTCCTAAGCGGTCCCAGAAACCATCCCAGGTTCACACCTAGGGAACCCGGGCACAATCCTGGACTTCTCTCCTCTCGCTTCCTGCGCCCAGCTAAGGAATCACCAAATCCTCCTAATGCCGCCTCCTCAATGATCCGTGAAATCATCTTGGTTCACCCCAGCATCACCTCCCTCTCGAATGACCCAAGCCAGGGTGTGAAGAGCTCCAGTTTGGAGGGCAAATCCAACCCTCATTTGTTTTTGTGCACGAGTTTTCACTGGAACACTGCCATGCCCATTTGCTCATAGAGTCTGAAGCTGCCTTCTGCAATAACAGTCGAGTATTGTGAAAGAGACGCTACAGCGCACAAAGTAAAAAATATTTACCATCTGGACCTTTAGGAAAAGGTGCCAACCCCTGAACTAAATAAACAGCCTCCCTGCCTTTGGTCTGACCTCCCTCCAACTCATTTGAGCAAGCACTCTAAAATTAATCTTAAATTCCCCCAAGTTAATCTACACACTCAAGGAAATCCCAATAAAATGCACTGGATTTCAAAGGAACTTAACAAGCTGATTCTAAAATTTGTCTGGAAGATGCCAGAAAGCAGTAAATAAAACAACTGAAAAAATGAAACAAATACAGGGCTCTTTGCTAAGTATGAAAGCACACTCTCAATGGGTATCCCAGTTAATTGGCCTAATGATGTGTTTGGGGCTTCCATTCTACCTCCTCGTTCACTATATACTCCTTGGGGTCTTACAAGCTTGCACACAGCAATTCAAGCACAATTGGACTCTATTCATTCTCCTGGAGCGACTGACTGAGGAAGGAGAATTAGAACAAGAGGGGGGTATGGAATATGTAACGAATGGTCTCCAAGAACAACCCCCTTCTTTGTCATTCGACCGGACATGGTACTCTGCTACCATGACAACACATTCTGATCAAAGATTCTATAGAAGCATCCTGATCCAAAGGAGAAAACGCAGAACATAATTTCAAATTCTCATGTGTGGTGGAGGGAAATGTCTACAAATCCCACTGAACAATTGGGTGGGATTATGCACATAGGCTGTGTGCCACACTAATAAAGAGGATTGGTGAGTTGTCGTTAGCACCCCACTGGTTATAAAAGAAGGTGCCTTGGCAGGAAGACAGAGAAACCCCAGGGCCACTGGAAGAACGGCCACTGATCCTACTGTCTGCTGTCTGAAGCGGCAGAGGCTGAGACTAAAGGCAAGGAGACGATGAAACAGAACAGTGGAGTGGCACTAGGACCAGGA